TTCCATGGTGTATATATATATCACATCTTCTTTATCCAATCACCTGTTGATGGACACTTGGGTTGCTTCCATGTCTTGGCTATAGTGAATAATGCTGCGATGAACATAGGGGTGCATAAGCCTCTTTGGATTGTTGATTTCAGGTTCGTTGGGTAGATACCCAGTAGTGGGATAGCTGGATCATAAAGTATTTCTATTTTTAATTTTTTGAGGAATCTCCATACTGTTTTCCATAGAGGCTGCACCAGTTTGCATTCCCACCAGCAGTGGATTAGGGTTCTCATTTCTCCACAGCCTCTCCAACATTTGTTGCTTTTTGTCTTGGTGATTATAGCCATTCTAACGGGTGTAAGGTGATATCTTAGTGTGGTTTTGATTTGCATTTCCCTGATAATTAGTGATGCTGAGCATCTTTTCATGTGCCTATTGGCCATCTGTATATCTTCTTTGGAGAAGTGTCTGTTCATTTCCTCTGCCCATTTTTTGATTGGGTTGTTTTTTTGTTATTCAGTTGTGTGAGTTTCTAATATATTATGGAGATTAATCCCTTGTCAGATATATGGTTTGCAAATGTTTTTTTCCAGCTGGTGGGTTCCCTATTCATTTTGATTCTGGTTTCATTTGCCTTGTAGAAGCTCTTCAATCTGATGAAGTCCCACTTGTTTATTCTTTCTTCTGTTTCCCTTGTCTGAGTAGACATGGAATTCAAAAAGATCCCTTTATGGCCGATGGCAAGTAGTGTACTACCTATATTTTCCTCCAGGAGTTTTATAGTTTCAGGTCTCACCTGCAGGTCTTTGATCTATTTTGAGTTAATTTTTGTGTATGGCGAAAGAAGATGGTCTACTTTCATTCTTTTGCAAGCGGCTGTCCAGTTTTCCCAGCACCATTTATTGAAGATACAGTGCTAATTTTAAAACACAGGTTCAACAATATAAAGAAAAAAGACAGAAAAAAGATTGGACGTAAATATGCCACAATGTTAGCAGTAATTGTCTCTGGATGGTAAGATTATGGATTTTTTTTGGTGTGTATCTCTTTATACTTTTCTACACATTGTAAATGTCAATGATCCATATTAATTTTATAATCAGCAAAGAGTAAAATGTATATAATATTTTTTAAAATGAAAACTTCTAACTAACAATAGTCAAGAACTTAAATATCTGAGGTAATATTAAATAATAAAGATGAAATACCATGATACCGACTCTGATATTAGAATCTACAATTTATTCTCAACACAGCAGCCAGAGTATCCTTTAAAAAGAGGAGGAAGATTCAGGTCATGTCTCTCCTCTACTCAAGACTCTCCAAGGCCTCCCCATTTCATTCAGAGGAAAAGCCAAAGTCTTTACAATGGTCTACAAGGACCAACATGATCTGACCCCTGCCATGTCGCCAACCTCCTCTCCTGACCCTGACCGAAGCAAGTCACACTGGTCTTCTTGCTATTTCTCAAACCTACCAAAGATGCACCTGCCTCAGGGCCTTTGTACTTGCTGTACCCTCTGCCTGGAATGCTTTCCGTCCATATAGCCACATAGTGTGTTTCAGATCTCTGCTCAAATGTCACTTTATCAGTGAGCCCTTCCCTGACTCCCATATAAAATAGAAGCTACCCCTAATGTTCCCAGCACCCCTTTCCCCTGTCACCCTGAGCACTTTTTCACCATTGTGACGTGTCAGAATTTACTTTACTGTGTTTGTGGTCTCCCTCTCCCACAAGAAGAGCTATCCTGCCTGGCACATAGGAGAGGCTCAATAAATACGTGTTGAATGCCCGAATGAATAAATGCACTAGATCGTAAACTCCTCGAGAGTAGAGAGGCTGAAGCTCACAGCACTGCACCAACGAAGTACACAAGACAAGCAGCACCGCCGACCTCACAGCCCCAGGGACATTAACCAGCACTCAGCTCACTCCAGAAAACTCCTTACAATCACAGCCAGAGATGACGGAAGTGAAGCGTCAGAAGGAAAGATAAGAGTGTTCGGGCAGAGGGGTAGAAGACTTAAAATTCAAGCCCTTCCACCAGGACGCGGCTTTTGCTGTAGGACAGAACTCCAAATTTTGATCACAGACTCAACCAGCTATACGTGGCACTTCAATGACACTTTAAATGCTCTTTCTATATAGCTATCTCTTTGTTGTGATTAGATATTTTTCTAAGAAAAAAAAAGCATTAGGAAACCAATTACCCTCTCACTCTCCCACCCCAAAAGCAGGCAGAAAAATGCAGCACCCGGGTATGGTACCCCCAGGCGCCCAGAATCATACACACGCGCACTCCCCTGGCCCATCCAGGCCTACTCGAGGTCCACAGGACGCCTGGTGCTGCAGAGAGGGAACGTGGCATTCTCGATCTCGCTACGTTTCATGGCCTCTAGAAATTCAAGGACAAACTGACAGCATAGCACACAGCCTCATGTTCTTTGCCTTAGGAAAGATAAGAAAATTCACCCTAAGCTATTTCAGATTTTTCTGGCACCAGAGCGCTCTGAAGATTAGGACAGGCTGGTGGGGGACCCTGCACGTGGGAGCTTAGGACTGTTAGGCCGTGTGAGGGTAACTGGTGCTGGGGTTGGACGGGGCAGCTCCCTCTGAAGCTTCCACTGAATTATGACGCTTGCTAAATTCGTCTTTCCTTTCATCCCCCTTCTCTCCCTTGACAGCTCCTTCATCTCTGTCCCCCCACAGTTCCGCTGTGACCATCATTTCATCCTGCTGAGATGTCTCCCCCAAGATGCTGTTTTAAGGAATTTCCTTTCTCGTGGGTATCTGCATCATAAAAGAGACTCCCTGAAGACCAGAGGACAAGTTCAAAGAGGGGATTTCTGGCTCAGTGAGGGAGAGAGGGCTCTAATGTTTAAGGAGTACCTATTCTATGCCAGATATTTGTACACTTGGCACACTTTCACGATCTTGCTGAACTCTCACAGCATCTCTATGAAATAGGTATTATCATCTCTCATCCCAAATGGATGAGAAATCAGGGACCCGCAGGCAAGACAGAATGTTAGTCCACACTTTGAGTACCTTCCCTGCTCCAAAGATACAGCAGTGATGGATGAAAATATTCTAAAAATAAGTAAACTTATCTGTGCTCAAAATAAGATACATATCTCAATGGATCAGAAACCCAAAGATTTACTATTTTGAGGGCTTGAAGGCACAGCCTGCTGAGCTCTGGGTCCAGAGGCAGGTGGAGGCAGCTTGGTCTTCCAGGGTACAGGGACTAGAAAGCATCCCACAGGAGGTGGGGGACCAGAACCAAAGTCACTGAAAATGGGGGGTGGTGCAGAGATTTCCCACCCGGGGAAAAGAGGCTGAAAGAAGCAGGGACCACCCCCCAAGACTAGAGCTTATCTGAGCACACAAACACCGCTGGGAGCTGGAAGCAGCGGACGCATCGCCAGGGCCTGGCTGGGCTGCCACGGCTCTGATGTTTGGCTCTGGACATAATCCCATTATCGCTGTGGACACACAGCTCATCACTAATCCAAGACACCTGGCTCTGCACTGGGGCACCCAGGCCCTGGGTGAAGGCAACTGCAGAACCACCCGGCGAGGAGAGCTGGGCGGAGGTGACGAGTGGGGAGAGAAGGAGAGAGAAACTGACTCCCACTCAAGATGAGCGTACCAACCCAACTTGCAAAACACCTGAGGAAAGCTGATGCTGAGGAAGACAACCCACAAAACCAACAGTTGGGAGACAGTCTCAAAGATTTAGTGAACTGGAAGGCAGCAATGAAGAATTTACCCGGAAAGATAAAGAAATGAACAAGAAAGGGCAGCTGGGGCTATGGGGATGGACTGAGAGACTCTGCAATGTATCCAACAGGATGTCCAGAAGAGGGGCCATGGAAGGGCAGGACAGCACTAGTCAAGGATAGCACGGCTGAGAATTTTCTATAACTGGAGACATTTTTTTTTTTTTTTAAAGATTTTATTTATTTATTTTTTCTCCCCAAAGCCCCAGTAGATAGTTGTATGTCATAGCTGCACATCCTTCTAGTTGCTGTATGTGGGACGCGGCCTCAGCATGGCTGGAGAAGCGGTGCGTCGGTGCGCGCCCGGGATCCGAACCCGGGCTGCCAGCAGCGGAGCGCGCGTACTTAACCACTAAGCCATGGGGCCGGCCCTATAACTGGAGACATTTTATGGATCCTCAGATTAAAAGCTCATACCAAGCGCCAAGCAAGATAAGTAAAAAACAATGCACATCTGGAAAAGCAGGGGCAAGCTCCCTCTGCCCGGCTCATTCTGCCCCTGCAGCCCCGGCCCACGGCCCCCCCAGAAGCTGCTTGCCAGCATCCTGCCATTGCAGCTCCACTGCCCATCCCGGTGCAGCGAGGACAGCCTGGGTTTGGGATCAGGAGACGCAGGTTCGTGCCCCCCATCTGTTACTGCCTCAGAGTCCTCACTGAGCCTCGATTTCTTCCCCTAAAATCGGGTCAGAGCCAGAATTCTAGAACCTTAGCACCAGAGGGGCTGTGGGTGTGGCCTCGTCAGAGCAGACCACTGCTGTGTTTAATTTCCAGCTCCCCCACTAACTAGCTCCATGCCCGCAACTTACTTAACTGCTGTGTCCGTTTCCCCATCAGTGAAACAGGATAATAACAGCACCCACCGATGGAGTCGTGTAAGGATAACTCAGACATGTAAAGAACTTAGTGCAGTGCCAGGCACACAGTAAACACTGAACCAGGGCAGCCATTACTATTACTATAATAATAGCCCCCCACCAAATGCCACTCAGTATGAGGGCTTCCCACCGAAACCAGGCACAGCAGAACCAGGACCCACTGCCATCTCTGTACTGTGGAACGGGCCAGCCAGCAGCTGCCCCTCCCCACCACTCTCCTTGGCCACCCCACAGGCCCTCCTTGGCCTCCAGGGAAGCCCCTCCCAGTCACCAACCACGAACTTCCCCAAATGTGAGTACGCCCAGACCCCGCCCCAGCCCACCCCCACCCTGTTGCCCTGGGCACCCTACCTCTCTCTGCTCACTGCAGATCTTACACAGCCACAGGGGCCGCTTCTGGCCAGGGGAGGCCTCGATCCCACATTTGGTGCAGACTTTCTACAAGAGAGAGGACACGGGAACGTAAACACTTCAGCCGCTTCCTCCTCGGCTGATGGGCTGGGAAAACTGTAACCAAGGAACCCTTTGGCATCTTCCGAGGGGACTGCCGTGCTTCAGGCTAGGAGGGTGGATAAGCCAAGGGGCACAGATCACCTAAAACCTGTGGTTGGCTTTGGGGCACAAGGGATGTGCCCATCCGTGGATCTCCAGTAGATAAATTCACACCTACAATTATGTTCCGTTAGGATCACATCCAAAAATAAGCTTGCTGATATTCACAGCTGCATCATTTTCAATAGCAAATGACTGGAAACAACCCAAATGCCCAATACCAGAGGAAGACCCAGGCAAACACGACAGAATACGATACCGCCTTAACACAGCAGGCTGTGTCGATCCCTGGAAATGTGGGCAGGAAATGATGTAATTCAACAAAGAAAACATACATTTGTATATAACCATGCAAAAAACCCATGTGTGTGCCCGGCAGGGTGAGACGATGATGCAGTGAGAAATACCAGGGACAGCTTGAGCACGCACTTGACACCAAGCCCCTTCATTTAAGGATCCCAGGAACCCTATTATGTAAGCTTTAGGCCCATTCTACAGGTGAGGAATCAGGGGGTTGGAGTAGTTCGAGAATTTGCCCAAGTTCACACAGCAAGTGGCGGACTCAGGTCTGACTCTACGGCCGTTATATAATTTCCTCCAGACACCTAAGTAGCCAGAACCTAGTTTCTGCAGTGATTTTCCTCCACAGAGTTGCTTATGCTCCTAACTTCTAAATACATATTTTGCTTCCCTGAAATGCACAGCCACAAGCAGTGGTGGGAAAGGCCAGAGGAAAAGCGCCGGGAGGCAGAGGGGGACTTGGTGCGGCTAAGACCGGCTCCCAGCTAACCAGGCAGCGACAGCGTGTCCTCAGAGAACTGTGCACAGCTAACCAATCTGACCGCCCTGTGGAAGCCACCCAGACGCAGCGGGGCTGGGGGCTCTCTCCTGCCCCGCCACGGGAAGGCTGGATCTGTTGCTTGGCCTTTCCTGCAGGCTGCCAATTGAGCAAGAAGCACACTCTCCGCGGAGAGGGAAATGTCACCAACTTGGCTTCCCAGAGCATGTCGTCACTGCCTGATTGGGTGGCTAAGCCTGGCGCTGCAGGAGGCGGGGAGCCAGCTGGTGGCGGAAGGGAAGCTGTGACACATTCGTAAGGGAGATGCATTTGCTACCATCCAACACTCAGGTATGAGAAATGTCACTTTTCTTTTCTTTTTCCAAATAAAATGTAACCTGCTCTGAGCTCCTGTCTCTCTGGGCTGGCAGGAAAGTCCACCCCAGTCATGACTGGAGCCCAGATCTCAGGAAGGGCCTAAGCCTAGGGTCTTCGGCAGTGCGGTATGTCTCAGGAGGGTTCCCAGGCTGCTCACTGCTGTGCTGCTCACCCTCGGAGCTCCCATGGCCCCTCTGAAGGGGGAAAGGGCCCGCCACTTCTGTGCCAGGCCTGGGTTGGGATCCGTGCCAGGCTGGGGCTCAGCCTCTCCAGGGACCAGCAGCCTGTCCCCCTGACCCGGTCTGGAGACTCTCCCTTCTCCACTAGAGTCACCTTTCTCTACTCCTCCCAATGCTCACCTCCAACCCTTCTATCTCTAGGACAGGGCCCCCTATAAGCCCACAAGATGGGCCTCAAGAAACACACACGGCCTCTCCTCCCGGGGGTAAAGAGAGCAAGGAGGCTCTGAAGCCAGTTGGCTGTTTTCCTGGCTAGTTTCCTCTCCCTACAAATGGTGCACATGGGAGAATGAGGGTGGCCTTCTCAGAGAGGCAAGATTCTCCTACTGTGTTTTCTACATGCTGATAGGGTTCGATGAGAGCTCGCCCTCTGAGCACACAGAGCCCCCTGCCCCACACCCCCCCCAGGTTACTGAATGAGTTGATGGTGCTGGGAATAAGGAGAGAACAGAAGACCAGTTGCTACCATTTATTGAGCAATTGTGTGCGCACCAGGCAGTGCGACCCTGCAACAAAGTAAGAAAGAGGTGGGTGTTATGATCTCCATCATTCAGATGAAGAAACTGAGGCTCCGAGATGTTAAAGACTGCCGAGGTCACACAGCTGTTAGTGACAATCAGGATTTGGGAGGCTCCCTTCTTCTAGACCTCAGGAGAGCTGGATAATGCTCTCCCCTGCCCAGGTGCCAAGCTGGTGCCCGTGGTTCTCCAGGGAACTGGTTCGCACCCCTAGAGATGTGGCTAATGGCTCTCAAATGAATGGGCAGAGAAGGTGACATGGGGTGATCCTGGGACAAGCTCTGCTGGGGATGAGGGTGCCACTGGCATGTGCTCATCAGCTCCATGGCACTGGTTCTAGAGGCAAAGACTTGGGCTGGGGAGTCTGGCTCTGCCCTCTGTGCTCTCTCTTGAGAGGGAAGGCAGCTGCCCTGCACAGGAGGGAGGTTTCTAGCAACAGGCAGGGAGCCCAGGCCCAGCGGCCTCCCCACCAACACCCTGTGGGCTTCCCCACAGCCTCCCTCCCCACACATTCAGCCAAAGTGGAGGGATTGCAGCCTCTGCCCCTGTCTAGTCAGCTCGGGCTGCTATAACAGAAATACCAGGGACTGGGGGCTTAAACAACGGACATTTATTTCTCACAGTTCTGGAGGCTGAAGTCGGGGTTCTTGGTGAGCGCCCTTTATAGATGGCTGCCTTCTTGCTGTTCCAGAGAGAGCCCTGGTCTCTTCCTCTTCTACTAAGGGCACCAATTCCATCCTGGGGGTCCCACACTCATGACCTCATCTAAACCTAATCACCTCCCACAGGCCTCACCTCCAAATACCAAAACATTGGAGTTAGGGCTTCAACATATGGATTTGGGGGGACACAGCAGTCCCTGACCAGGACTGGGCCCCTGCCTCTGCTCCTGCACATAGGGAGCCCTAGAAATGGGAGCATCATCATCTCCCTCAACCCCGGAACACTGAGAGCCCCAGTCCTCCCGGACTCTCCATCTCACGCCATCCCGCACTGTCACCAATTTCATGTTCCAGAAACACTGCTCTGAGCTTGTTCAGAGGCAGTGTGGCTTTGTGCTCGGGGCACAGGCTTTCGAGGGAGGCAGGCGTGGGATGCCCTTGGGCAAGCTACCCAAAGCCCGTCTAAGCCTCAGACATTCTCATCTGTAAAATGGGATAATAATGTTCATCCCCTGGGGTTGTCTGATGATTAATTGAGATACACATGAAAGGCAACCAGCGCATTAGAAGCACTTAATAAGTGTCAGTCACTATTATTAGTGACGCCCCCTCCCACCCTGTTCTAAAACCCTGTGTGATTCTACTCTAGACCTGCACTAACGTGGCAGCCACCAGCCGCATGTGGCTATTTAAATTGAAATTAATTAAAATTAAATAAAATGAAAACCTCAGCTCCTCAGTCACACTAACTACATTTCAAATGCTCAATAGCCACACGTGGCATGTCCCAGATGTTCCCTCCTCCCTTGCCCTGTCGGGGGTTGGGGGGTGGCATGACAGGGCACACCCTCCCCGGCCCATGCACAGCCCTGCTTGCAGGCTCCCAGCCGTCACTGGTAGAACCCACGGTCAGTTCCCGCCATCTCTCGGTCATCTTTACATGCCGGCAGCATCTCTGGCTGGGGAATCCGGGCTGGCAAAAAGATAACATGCTCCACTTCAAATAATACATAATTGCTGCTCTATTCAACCTTGGATCAATAAGAAAACAATGAGCCTTTTCGTCTTATGGGCTTGGTCTTTGTTCCCAGGTTCCAATAAAGAAAATTAAGCAGGGGGATTTTAAACAGCCAGTGAGAGAGAATGCGAGCAAGCGCAACATCAACTCAGTGCAAAGGGAACACTGCACGGTGGCATCAAGGACAGCCCCGGGGCCTGGGGGTGGCCCCTTCTCCCCTGCCTGAGAAGGGCTTCCATTGAGCGGAATTGCCCTGAGTGAGCGCTGGTTCCCCCGGCGTGGCTGCCTTGTGTCTCCTGCAGCCTGGAAATGTGTCTGAGCCTTAAACAAACCAAGTCTAGCTTCTGGGCCTGACTCAGAGGAGAGGTGACAAAGCTCCAGGCCTTCAGCCCCCACGCACGTGCTCTCTCCTCACTCCTGTCTCAGTCACTCCATGCATTCCTTTGCAAATGCACACCCTAGCCCAGAACACGCATGGAGAAGGGGATGGCTCGGGGGATAGCCCACGGGACACAGGCTTTGGGGCAGGAGAATGCAGAGCCTGCCATTTAGATGCAACCTTGGACTTGTTGCTAACATTCTCTGAGCCCCGTTTCCTCGTCTGTAAAATGGTGGTAACAGGCAGACTCGTGCCACAGTTGGGAGGATCAAGGGAGACGATTCACGAAAGTGCTTAGCACAGTACGTGGTAAAGAGCAAGCAACAACCACAGTCTTTCCAGCACGTCTGTCTTGGTGAAGGACGCCAGCACCCATCGGTCATACAGGCCAAAACGCAGGATCACCCTCAATCCTCACTCTCCCTCATTCCCACCCAAATTGTCCACCTGCAAGAACTCTAAATCTCGCTCGAACCGTCAACTCCCCTCCACAACCCTCCCCCACCCACGCTGCCATCTCCAGGGCCTGGCATGCACCCCGGCCTCCCAGCAGCTCTCCTGACCCTCACTTTAGCCAGCCTCCAGCTGGTTTCCCACATGGCAGCCAGAGTGATCTTTTCAAGACGCAAATCTAATCACATCATTTCTCCCATCCCTGACAGCTTAAAAACCTCCAGAGACTTCCTGTTGCTCTCTGGATGAAGATCCCCGTTCACATGGTGTGTGATGCCTGCTCAGGCTGCACCCTAGCTCCCTGCCAGCCTCAGCTCACACCCCTCTCCCCCTGCTCTACTACCTTGCTGTCCACTCTCCGAGCCCCAGCCATGTTGGCCTGCCTTCAGTCCCTGGTCCTCACTCTGCTTCTCCTGCCACAGGGCCCTGGCATGTGCTGCTCCCTCTATCTGGGATGCACT